AAAGACACAAAGGAAAAAAAAAAAAAAAAAAACATACACAAGTACCAACTAGGTTTTTTAGGGTTTCAAGAAGACCTTTAAAGAGAGCTTAAAGTGTAGAATAAATGAGGTAGTTAGTCCAGTACCATTTTACCAGATTGCTCCCAAATGTTTAGGATTCTGTCCATATATTCCTATTGTACTGAAACTTTGAAATAAATGTTGCTGAAAGAATTACACTATTCATTAAAATGGGTAACATTTTAGTGTTATATAGATATTATAAATATAGCTACATTTAATCTGTACAACAAAATCAGAAGACATGGACAAGTAACTCATTCACTTTTTTTTGGATTTCATGATACTTCAGGAAACAAATTACAAGGCAGGAAATACGTAATCATGACATTCATTAATGGTATTTCAAGAATCAATATGGTCATTTTAGAGTACTTCTATAATAAAAACCAAAAATTTTACTCTTGTCAAATGACAAACGCAAACATTAATCACTCATGTTCTACAAAATATTATGGTTTTGAAGGATTTATGTGAAAATGGATTCCTTATAAAGCATTACTTTTAATAGATAAAAAAAAGCAAGTGTGAATGCATAATTTTGTTTAAAATATCCTGGGAAATATTTTTTTTTAAGGAAGGAAAAATACCCCAAATATTTGGCCATTTCAAAAATCTTCATCATATATAAAGACTAGCACTTTCCCCATCTCAGAAATCTCAAAAATTTATTACTTATTTCATGAATTATTGATCAATGTAGTAGAATCTGCATATGAATATGAAAATGATCAATAGTTTTAAAAGGTTAGAAAGGCATTTCTTTTAGTTTTCAGAATTAAAAATTGATTTTGTAACTTTTCTACTCTCTGCTTTTTACCTTAATGTATTTCACAGATAATTAAGATTTTTTAGAAATGTTACTTTTGACTGGAAACCTTCCTCTTTTGGGTCTCTCACCACACAGAGGTTGTCCACCACTGCCACCCCCATTTACATCTGTTTTCTTCATAAAAACCGCAGACATTTCTGCTGGCAGTTTTGGAAGGTGCAGAAAGCTGTTTATGTAGTTAGGCCACTCTGGGTACTCCTTGACTACTAGGTGGTAGTATTTTCCTGATTCTTCTTTCACAATATGAAAATGTTTCCAAGTATGATGTCATTTTCACTGGCAGAAAAACTTTTCCAACCAAACTGTTTTTCTTTCTTTCTTTCTTTTAAAAAATCATCCAATCATTCAAGGTCACAGTGACCCAAACACTGTGGTTTTTCCGCAGGAAATTAAGGTCTCTATTTTTAGTACAAATCAAGTTAATTTCAGGAATGACCTTTTTTTCCATATGCAAATCAGGTGATTTGATTTTCCCCTGTTTAACTTCTCTTTATATAAAAAATACCACTAATTCAAAATGATTACCTTAAAGTGGATAGGTGGGTATTGTCTCATACTTAAAATAAAAGGCTAGGCATTAAAATAAGCATCTTATGACATATTACTAACAATAAATGAGCTTCAAGAATAAAAAGTAATTCATACTCTTAAGAAAACCAATGCCTTGTTACTTTGTAAGGTTCCAGCTATTTCAGCTATTCACTCTTTAAAATGGTTTGCTAAATAAAGAACATGGTTATACTACAAAGAAAAAAAAAGAATAAAAAGTAAAGTTTCAAGCCAGAAATGATAGTTTCTATCTAAAAATTGATTTATATCAGATTGTATCTAGACAAGTATGAAAATAATTATTTAGAAAAGATATGGAAATATGTTTCAAATAAAGTGTTACTTAAAAAATACAAAATTGTTTACAGACCATTATGAAAAAAAAAAATGATAGATATGAATGCTTCTAGATATATGCTGAAAGGGTATAAAGAATGAAAGCAGCTATGAATGAAACAATATGGAAGGGTCAAGGATTATCAGTGATTTTAAACATTATTTCTAATTTAAAAATTCTGTCTAACAGCATGAGATTTCAAAAAAGTAACTAAAAAATAAGCTCATTTTTATATACTTGGGTACTATAAACAAACTATAAACAATTTATTATTTACAGATTATATATATTTTTTAAATGAAAGAATGACTTAGTTCAATATTACGGCTCAAAACTACTGAGATTATAACCATCCCTTACTAAACAAAATAATAAGTAAAACTGACTTTCATACAAAAAATCCTTACACCTCTTGTGAAGATTTTTTAGAAGTCTGTAGTAATCTGCTTTGTTTTCCCATCAGTCTGGACAAGTTCAATATTCAATGTGAATCTACTCAACTTTAACATAATACTATAAAGTGAAGTATAAGTGTTAATTGAATTCTTATTTATATAATTTTCCTCAAGTTTTTATATTATACCAAATATAACTTTTACAATAAAACTTACTTCGTTTTTTGTTGTCAAATAAACTCATAAAATAAAAAAATTTAACTAGATAAGGTCATTTCAGAGAAAACATAATAGGAGCATCACACAGCTTGAAATGCCAGAAACAGTGACAACCTAAACTGAAAATGTTTCCTAAAAGACTTAAGATTTCCTAGTACACATACGTCTTTCTAAATGATTAAGAATTAGTGTGCCTTTTCTCATGATAAGTTCTTCAGTCACTTTTTAAAGCTACAGTCAGCATCATCCTGGAAATTTGGAAGGAACTGGTAACACTGAAGTCACTGAGCATGAGGCCACACCCACAATAACCAATTCCCAAGACCAAGCTCACTCTTTAAAGACATTTAAATTTGATCAAAACATTACAGTACCAGAAAGCATAGCACTACTGAGTTATGACAGATGCAGGGCTGTACCAGGGCACCGAGACAGAGAGCTAAAGCAGAAACTACACGCACAGCAAAGGGCTTCATAGTCAAAGTTTATCCACTTATGGAATTGGCCTAAGGACAGTTAGAGGGACCCACAGTAATTTTATGACTTTTTTGCCCTGCCAGAAAAAAGATCTGTATTATCACTCCTGAGAATAATGACAGGTCATTAGATTGTTTATAGACTCTGACATTCGGTTAAGATTTATTGAAAGCCTAATGTATGCCATATGTGTGCTGGACTCTGAGGAACAAAAAGTGAATAAAACAGATATTTCTGTAATTCCTAGGCCAAGGCCTGATAAGGAAGAAAGACAGGAAAATGAGTGAATGCCATCCCTGTCCAACGGGCAGCATGTACTCTGATAGAAGGAATTCCAGATCTTAAAAAAGCACACAGGAGACCTGAGGAGTAAAGACTAGACCAACACTTATAAGATGAACAAGACTTAGCAGGGAGGGGACACAGCAGGTGGGAATCAGGGGCAGAGGATTCCAGAATGAGTGAAACACATGTACAGAAGACTTAAGTACAGGGGAAACATGAAACTTTTGCAAAGCTGAAAGCCATTCAGTATGGCAGGAGCTGAGTGAGCGAAAGAAGGAGAGAAGCACTGAGTGAGAGGAGTGTGTGGATGTGTGTAGTGTCAGGAGTGGGAGAGGGAACGGGAGGGTGCACTGATGGCCACTAGAGCAGGAGTAAACAAACAGCTTGTAAGACAAGTCGAGAATTTGGAACTTCATACTTAAATCCACAGAAAGGCATTATAAAGGCCAGAAGTCTGACACAGTTTCTGCTTCAGCAGAATACTCTATTTCCAGGTTGCTAGGGGGCATTCCTGCTAGCAGGAGGTTGCAGGTGGCCTGACCTAAGGAAGTTGCTATGGGCACTGAGAAAATCAGATAAAACCATCATGCACATCAGTTAGAATGGAGAGCCCTTGGAGTGGAAGTGGGAAGTGTCCAGAGCCAAAACAAAACCTGGTCTGGTTAACTAATGGGGATGGAAGAGGAAGCAAAGCTGAAGGTTCTAAAAATCATGCAAGGATCTGAAAATCATCAGCATTAACAGAGGATTTGCTGACATGGGAATGAAGCAAATTAGTCAAGAATGTGTGTAGAAAAGGAAGAGGCCTCAGACAAACACCTGTGAACATTTACCAAAACAGTATAGGAGGAGGATCAACACACACATATACTACAAACTTTTCGTCTATAAATTTTGCAGGCAGTAACATTTTCGGCAAGGTCAATCGTATATATTCAAAACAGAACAGCATATTAAGTGTGATAGAAAATAAGTACAAGAGGAAGCTTTCTGGCCATACGGTTATACCCCAATCTTTTTATTTTCTTACAATATTTATCATTACACAATGTAATTATTTTTGTGGCCCTTTACACCCCAATCTCAATCTTAGATATCTTAGAAAATGGTAAGTCAGGTGACACAAATGATCGCTTAATGTCATGAACAATTCCTATTCAGAGAGGATACCCTGTCTGAGGGAAATGTGGCACATTCTCCAGTTAGCTGTTATTATTAAATGAAACACTAAAGTGAAATGTGCTCTAGACAGAATGAAAAGTTATCACCCTACTGAGGAAAAATCATCAGTTTGATTAGTTAATATAAAACCAAATCATACACTGTAGAAGATGAAGCCAGTAAATTGCTGGCATTAAAATAAAGCCTTTTAAAGTAATGTAAAAACGAAGAGGAAGAAGAAAACATTCTACGTATTGCTCCATTGTCTATCCACAAGAAATACAGCACCAGGTAAAAGCCACTGTGACTCACCTTGGTGGGTCCATTTCCATTAATCGTCACTGGTAATGTTTCATAAAATGTGTTTTTAGCTCTGGCTTTCCCATTTTCAAATTTTAGAACAACTTCATCTGGGTTGAAAAGAGAAAATGGTTTAAATAATTTAAAATGTATTCATGTGTGGGTGTGTCTTTTGTTGTTATAAAAGTTTTCATGGATATAATACTCCATGTGCTATAACACTTTTAGAAACTTCACCTACTCCAGGTTAGCAGATACCCAAAATGAAGAACGATGTTGATAAAGATACAGATACCAGCTCCAGTGCATCTCATTTACAACCTGGCACCACTAAAATGATTGAGGTACTTAAGCCACTGGGCTGTCTGGTAGAAGAAAGCATCTTTGCAACCCTGCCTCTGCTCCTTGATAGAAATATGATCCTAGCTGAGTTAAATGAGTGTCTCAGTTTATTCATCTGTAAAATGGGATCCATGCTTTCCTTGCAGGGTTACTATGAAGATAACAATATCTGTATGTTGAATAGAACACTGCCTGTCATAAACAAGGTTTCCACAATTGGCCAGTACTGATAGTATTTCCAGTTCCAACAAAATCAGACCAGAAATACATAATTCAGAGTGCAGCAGAAGCAGTTTTTTTGTTTTCAGGTTCCTTTCTTCTCATTTCCTGAACACTCCAAACTAAATGCTTTCCATTCTGAAAATCTTTTCACTGTATAAACTGACTTCAAGAATTGTATTAAACTGAAACATATTTTTAACTTTTAAAGTATAATGAATTAAAGTATTTTGATTTTTAATGTATTGATTAATTTTAATGTATAAATGTATTTTTATAAAGATATATGTATCTCTAGGAAAACACACAGGCACATATGCATACGTTCACACATCTAAATGCATGCATGAGCATACACACACCCACTCTTCCACAAGTAGTCAACCTGTCTAGTCACCAGTAACCCTTCAGCTGGGTCAAAAGGATCTACTAATACTCCCGGGTAATTCACAATACAAAGAATTTACACTGAAAAATGTATAACAATGGGTGTAATTAATTCATAATTATATCTATAGTCCCCAGAATGTGAGACATTAAATTTTAACTTACTTAAGGCCAAAAGCTTATCTTTTTCACATTAGTCTTAGGAAATGATTTTACCTAATTGTAGTGAACTAAATAAAGCTTTTTCAAGTCCAATATTTATTAACGGTTGCTATATCTACACTGTAAACCTTTGTCACAGCCCCAAAATGGTAGAAGAAAGGAAGATAGTTGAAAACGCAACTGTTCATTTGTACACATGAGCAATTCAATATTTAGGAAGCATACCTACAGCTCCATTTAAGGTCTGGAAAATTTTGCATTTGTGATCCAATGTGATGTTAATAGCTTGCTAAAAAAAAATTAAAATAGAGATAATATTGAAGATACAACAAAAACAGCAAACACCACTATCATGTCAACATTTCAACATAGTTTATTCTTCAGGTGAATTTAAAGATGAAAATTCTTAAGTGTCTAATGAAATATTTAGATGACTGAAGTATTTACCTAAGACATGGAAACACCTATAGTTGCAACTCACTGTAAAATACACTGAAAAAAAAAATCTTATATTTCCTAATGACAGCACCCATAAAAATTTGGGAAACTTTAGAACTGTTTTCATTATATATAGTGAATTTATGAAATGTTAATTTCTATTAAGTAAATAAAATAAAAATATTCTCCGATTAAATCACTTTGGTTTTACTTTTCTCCAAAGTTTCACTTAAGTCAATTTCGAGAATGTTCTCTGTAGAGCCTATAGCAGACTGCTTATCATCCTCAACATCTCCCCACCTTAATAGAAGAACTCAAATTTTTAGTAGGGTACATGTGTTTGAAACAAAAGTCATTTCCTTCCTATATTATGTGTGGCCACGTAAATATGTTCGGGTTTAAGAAAGTTTGAGAAGCCATTCTGTGCAAGTTCTAGGAAGGCTATTAAGATGGGCTGGTTTTGACTATTTTTGACTGTTTCACCTTTTCGCTGCCCAGAATATGAATGCAGTGGCTGGTGCTCTAGTAGCATCTTGGACAAGGAGGTTACACCGAAAATGGTAGGTATGGGCTAACGTTAGAGCGGCAAAGAGCTATCCCTCTTGATACCATAAAGCAACCATAACAGCCTGTGCTCCCGACCTCTTAACTATTTTTTTTTTAATGTGACGGGGGGGGGGGGGGGGGCAAAAAA